TACTTCTCCAGGGACTGGTCCTTGTTGATGACATGTACACAGTATGTGAGGTGAAGTCCTGGCATCCTTGTATCGAAGACCATTCGAGCTATACTTCTTCCACCATTAATTGGTTCATTCTTCTGGCAGTCTATGGGGTGTTCAGTATTCTCCACCAACACCAAAATTGAAAGGCATCAAGTTTTCTTTCTTCTGCTTTTGTATGCACCTTGATCCTCAGAGTTACATCTTTTTAAAACAAAAAACATTAACACGTTAAAAGAAAGAGAGACCTTTTGCAGCAGATTTACAAAATGCAATATGTCACAGGCTTTTAAAGGAGATGCTAAAGATTTGTGGGAGTCCCTAGGAGGGGCAATATGATGAACATGCTTGCTTTGAACCAAAAGGTTGGAAGTTCGAGCCCACCCAGAGGTGCCTTGGAAGAAAGACCTGGTAATTTACTTACCAAAAAATCAGCCATGGCAAATCCTATGGAGCACAAGTCTATTCTGACACACACGAGGTTGCCATGAATTGAAATTGACCTCATGGCCATTGACATTTAATTTTTATGTTTAGGATTTGTTTGCATTTTATATACATGCTGAACTGATTCTCCTGGAGAGAAATGTTACTCAAATACAGATTAAAAATGGATTACCTTTTGGCAAGCAATCTGCTCTTAGAACAAAATATATGCAATGCCTGCCCTGCAGGAGTGGGAAACAGAGAGAATCGGCTGGGAAAAGCCTTGATGTCCTTCGTCTTTGTAAGTCTCACTATTCTCATCTCTAAAATGGCACTTCTTAAGGTTGTGTGAATGTGAAATGAGATAATGCACCCCAAATGCTTAGTACTCGGCACCACGGAGGCTTTCAGTGAATCGTGGCTCTGGGAAAGAAGGGAGTAGTGTATAATAACAGACCCTTGCTTTCATTGACCAGGAGCCCTGGTGGCTCTGTCAGGTAAACGTAGCTGGTAATCTATAAACCTTCAAAGAAGAGATTTACAAATAAATCTTTGTAAACTTGTCACATTATTTTTGTTTAAAAAAATTAGGGATTTCAAGTAGATTTTGAATGGAAATGAACTAAAGAGTAATCATCTAGCAATTTGTGCTGTGGGAATTGGTGTTATAAATGTCCCAGGGGAGGTTGTCCTCCTGGAACAAGATAGAGACTCCCTCCTGAACGTAGGAAAGCCCAGAGAAAAGACGGAAGAAGCTCTCCACTCGAAATCTTCCGTTTTTCAGTATTATAAAAAGTCCCTCTCTTCCTATTTGTATGTCATATGAATGTTATATAAATACCAATTAGCCTTTTGAAAGAGGACAGTGAGACAATTTCAGAGGTTGCATCTGGGCTTAGGGTTGCAATGAGCTGTACACGTTTTAAAATATATATACAACTGTACAACTTCTCTAGACTCTCTAGAGTGTTTTATAAGACAGCTTCATTTAAGTTGGGAGGAGGCTGGTTTGCCAAGTGTGTGTTAAAATGAAGATTTGGTGCCCAGTGTAATTCTCTTTATTTTCTTACTTCAGTGTGAAGATAATTTTCCCCCTAAAAAAGCCTTTGACTTTCACTTTCTGGTTAAAAGTGTGTGACACATTTATAGGTGTATAAGTGGATATATTTATATATATATTTAAAAGACCTTCTCAGGTATGGTTAGGTCTGCATTGCTAAGCGTGCCTGGGGTTCATACAAGTTAAAAGCCACTCCGGTTAACATTTAATTAGAAAGAATCAGCTCAATGGCAGTGAGTTTGGTTGGTTTAGGACTACGGGTGCTTGAATATCACTGTCTGTTTAAATATTTGATCATTTGGATCTTTTTTGGAGTATTCCAGTGGGGTGTGCCTGCGTTTTTTGCTTTGTGATTGATTTCATTTGGGATTGTTACCAGATGGAATCCCCGGGTGGTACAAATGGTTAACACATTTGGCTGCTAACCGAAAGACTGAACGTTCAAGTCTACCAAAAGTTGCCTTGGAAGAACTCTACCTCTGACAAATCAGCCATTGGAAATGCTATCCAGCATTCAGCCACATCAGGAGTCGGCAATGGCAACTGGTGATCAGAAGATAAATAAAATGTCTTTCAAAACATTGGTTCTAGTAGAAACAATTATTAATGGTTTTAAGACTAAAGTGAATAGAGTTATGATTTGAATCAAATAAACCTGGGGTCTGGTTTACATGAAAACATCTTTATGAATAAAGAATTTAGTACGGGCTTAAAGTGGACACATAGGGAATGTGAGCCGCTTGATCAGACAAGTAAATATCTGCTTTCTGAAATGCTAGGATTAGGAATGCTAAGAGTTTAAATGTGACTATGGAAGGCCACTGTGGATTTTTAAAAAGGCAGTCAACTTTGTATTCTGGTTGTGCTTTAGTGTTTTCATTAATTTAAAGTAAACAGTATGGATTTGAAGTCTATCCAAAACAGCAGGAAATAGACTAGTAATTACTGTTGGGAGTAGAGTACCTTAGAACAGTGAATGCTTTAATTGGAAGTTAAATAGATGTCAAGAGATGACAGTTCATATTAGGTTCTCATAGTGTGTACATCATTTGAATGCAGAGAAGGTGCTTATTATGCAAAGGTTATCAGCTGAGTCTGACAAAGTGAAATAAGAGATTTGGACAGCTCCAATCACTGTATGTAAAACAACTTTTCTATGTATACCTACTCCTCATTTATCTACTGTGTTAGGGTGGGTTGGACTAGAGAAACAAATCCAGTGAGCCTCATAGATGTGTAAGAAATTGCTTTATATCAAGAAGTAATTATCTATCACAAAAAGCATTCCAGCCCAGTCCAATTCAAGTCCATAAGTCCAATACTCATCCATAGTCCCTCTTCAGCCTCACACAGTTACAAGCAATGATGACGAACGCAGGAATCTCATCAGCCAGTGGGTGCAAAGTCTTGTGGATCCAATGGCGGTGGACCCATCTCCAGGGCTCTGGCAACACTCAGAGTGGCTCGCAGGCATGAAGGCGAAGGCAGGGAGGGGGAGGTTCCCAGAACCCTTCTTCTGAGAAGACCAAGCCCACAAGGAGGCACCATCAGGCAGCGATCTGATTGGCAGGTTGAATACCACTCCATATGCTTTTATATATCTTTGAGTTGACATGAAATGATGTAACTGCCACATCTATTCTCTTTCTTTCTGACATTCCACTTTATAACAACAGTTAGGTCTATCTGGTGATCTGAAATGTAAATCCACACCTTATTTACAATAAAAAAGTTGGCCCCCCCTCAAAAGTTATATCAGATTATTTTGTGTATTGACAATATACAGCAGACAGTAACGAATGCTGGGGTGTGAGGTGAGCATAATGCTAGTTGTAATGGTTAAGGTGACATATCATCATGGCTGGGCTGTGGTTCTCAGTGGTTTGACAGTTAAGGAAGGATGTCATCTGGCAGTTAAATAATACTGTGGTCATCTTCCATTTTGTGGTTGAATGCAGTCATCCTATATTTTTGCTTAATGCTGATTTTCGAGTAATGATCTGCTGTTGGTAATGATCACCTAACTGATAAGTGAGGACAAAGTATAATAAATTAATGTGTAATGCTCACATTTTAAAAAGATGTATGTGCATTCCCAAGATACATTCTTGGATTTTTTTTCAAGAAAAATGTATAGACTTTTCTTCCCTGTTGAAAAATTGTATTTTAGATACTTGTATACAGGTCTGGCAAACAGAGCAATGGGCTTCAATGTATTTGGGGAATCACTGCCTTTTACTTCCTTGACAAGCATGTGAGGATTAAGTACAGATATGAAAGGTGCTGGTGTTATAGTATAGTCTCGCTTGAAAATCACAGATGGAACAGCACCTGTTTTAAATGGGCTGTGTATAGCGGTGTAAATGTGTGTATGGATGAATTTTTCTGAATTTAGATAATATTTATAAATACCACCGAACTATATGGCTATTGCTCCATTATCATCGGTATTTTATAGAGTTAATATTTATAATATGATAGAACTGATTACTCAGAAGAAACCTAATGCCACATGTGTTAAAGACATGTGATTGCTTTCTCAGAGAAAATGAATGCAGCTGGAAACATAAGAATGGTGATTAATGATATACTGAGAGAATAAGTGCTTGCATATTCCATTTGGATAGTGTATTTGGGAATATTTTAAGAATGTTACAGAAACTCAGATGGCCATGTTGAAGTACATAAACTGTAAATTGCTCCCGTCATTCAGATAATTTCGCTTGTGTGGGAAAAGGAGGAAGAATACTAAATTTTTACTTACAGAAAAACAAACAAGCAAACAAGCAACCTTTTAACATTCCCTTCTTTGGCTGGTTAGCAGTTTATGGGTAGGTGCATCTCGGAATTATCCCTTGAGTACTCCAGCATATGACCCAAAGGGAATATACAAGAAAAGCGTAGCAATATCTAGCAACAAAGTAATTGGAAAACAGGCAAATGGGGAAAAGTTATCAATAGCTTGAGATAGGTTTTGGGAATTAAGTTGCTCATTCTTGAAAGTAATGGCAAAGTGGAGGATTTATGTATGTGTTTGTACCCATTCTTATTGTAAAAAGTATTTGTGACAAAGTAGATGGGTTACTTTGAAAATAGAAGTTTTCGATCAAAGTGAGTAGAGGGGAAGTGTGGGGAGAGCCTGGGTTGTTTACTGGAAAGCGCCCTCTTACTTTGAACTGAATGCTTGCTTCCGGGGAAGCTTTTTAAATCTTTGAGTTGAGTAATATGTGGAGGGGCTGCATGGTCTTTTCAGTTCTTATATCTTTTTTGTTGATGTCAGGGAAGCATGTTCCAATGGTGCTGATCTACTCAATCTACTTAGGTTCTTGTATCCTAGTGAAAAATAGCTGGCCTCAATCATCGTTTGTACATGTAAACGTTCAAGCTCTTAGTATGTAATAGGCTCTAATAGAATTATTGCTATTTGTTTTAAATAATATTTTACAGTAAAATTCTAATTGAGACTAAAACTTGTGCTACTTTTTTTTAGGACAGCCAGTAGAGGGGACTTCATGTTTTCTGCGGATCGTTTGGTAGGTGGAGACTTTCCATTTTCATTTCGTTATTGTACCTGATACAAAGGGCCAAGGGGCTTTTTGGTTCTAGAACATTCTGGAAGTGAGAAGGTTTGTAACAAGTAACAATATCTTGCTAAGCTTCTGAGACATTATTTCCACTGTTTACTAAACCTCTGTGCCAATCTTTTTCACTCCAAACCATTGTTCACAAACTCATTCCCTGTAAGTCTTAGATACCACTACTTTCCAAATGGATCTTGGAAACCTGGTCCTCAGCAACCCTTAACTGCCTCATCTTAGGGCAATGAAGTGATGGATTCATTGAAAGAAACGCAAGAACATAAGGAGACTTGATGTTAACCCTTATAGTATCCAACTAAGACATAAAAACTAATATTTACATATATGTAGTTTAGGTGTAGGAATGTTTGTATTGCTCATTCTTTTCTATACTATCCGCACATATGATAGAGTCACTTTGATTACCTGCACTTTATTCAGGGACTCCTTATTAAAATTGACCAAGCCCAATTCTGTTTAACAAGTATAATCTCAGAAAAGTTTAAGCCAGATTGATAAGCACCATGCTTCCTTCTTCTGTTTATATCTAAACTTTATGTTCTACCACTCATCTGTCACTTTGTCCATCTGTTATGGCTTACATGTTGCTCTGCTGCTGGAAGCTATGCCACCAGTATTTCAAATACTAGCAGAGTCACCCACGGTGAACAGGTATCAGCACAACTTCCAGACTGAGAACAGACTGAGAAGAAGGGATATGCTGCTCACTTCTGAAACAGTAGTCACTGAAAACTTCATAGATAGCAGTAGAACGTTATCTTACACAGTGATGGAAGATATGCTCCCCACCTGGAAGAAGCCCACCAGCCTGTATGATGTGAACAAGGGGGTCCAGAGTGAAGACCCAAAACCTATCTGTAGACAGTTGGACATCCCCTCACAGAAGGGTCACAAGGAAGGGACCAGCCAGCCAGGGTGCGGTAGAGCACGGATTAAATACACAATATTTATCTAGTTCTTTAATGCTTCTCCCCCCTTCCCCCCAACTATCATGACCACAGTTCTACCTTACAAATCTGGCTGGACTGGAGTATGTACACTGGTACAGAAAAGAGCTCTCAACACATGGAATCCAAGACAGATAACCCCCTCAGGAACAATAATGGACATAGCAATACCATTAGGGTAGGAGGAAGGTAGGTGGGGAGAAGGGGAAACCGATCACAATGATGGACGTAAAATAATCCCCCCACCTCGGAGGGGGATGAACAACAGAAACGTGGGTGAAGGGAGACAGCAGAGAGTATAAGATATGAAAATAATGATAATTTATAAGTTATCAAGGGTTCACAAGGGTGAGAGGATGGGGGGGAAAGGGTAAAAAGAGAAGCTGATACCAAGGGTTCAAGTAGAAAGAAAATGTTTTGAAAATGATGATGACAACCTATGCAAAAATGTGCTTGATACGATTGATGTATGGATTGTTATAAGAGGCCCCAATAAAATTATATATATATATGAAGAAATTAAGCTCTCCTAGGTTGGTGGTACTTAAAATATAACTGTGGAAGAACTGCTTCCTCAAAGTAGCGTTGACCTTAATGTTGTGGATGGAGCAAACCTTTCAAGACCTTCATTTGCTGATGTGGCAACACTCAAAATGAGGAAAAACAGTTGCAGGCATCCATTAAAAATCAGAATTTGGAATGTGCAAACTGAAGAAATGATAGAATAAAGGAGCTGAACAGAAAGTTTCCAAGGGCAGTTCAAGAAGGCCAAATATTGTGATGAAATGTGCAAAGACCTGGAATTAGAGGGCCAAAAAGGAAGTTGAACAAAGTGAGGGGAAGATTCAGTCTTTGAGTTACAATATTGAAAGGTTCTGTAAGTACAATATTAAATGATCCAAGAAGTATCAAAAGAAAATTGAAAAAAGACAAGAATCACTGCACCAAAAGAATTAGTTGGCATTTAATCATTTCAAAAGATACTATACGATCAAGAACAGATTGTACTGAAGGGCAAGCTGCACTGAAGGCATTAGCCAAAAACAAGCATCCCATCATTGACAGAATACCAATTGAAATGTTCCAATGGATGCAACACTAGACACACTCATTAGTCTATGCCAGGAAATTGGGAAGACTGTAACCTGGCCAACCAAGTGGAAGAGATCTGTATTTGTGACCATTCCAAAGAAAGGTGACCCAGCAGAATATGGAAATCATCGTACAATGTGATTAATATCACAGGCAAGTAAAATTTTGCTGAAGATAATGTTTAGAATAGAGGCGGTAGTACATCAAGAGGGAGCTGCCAGAAATCAAGCTGGAGTCAGAAGACACGACACAAGGGCTATCATTGCTAGCAGCAGCTGGATCTTGGTGAATGCAGAGAATACCAGAAAGATGTTTCCTTGTGTGTTATTGACTACGCAAAGACATTTTACTGTGCAGATCATGACAATCGTGGCAAAAATAGGAATTCCAGAAGACTTAGAGGCAGTAGAATGAACAGAGCAAGGGAGCGCCGTGTGGTTTACAGTTAGGAAAGGTGTGCAGCGAGGTTGTGTCCTTTCACCATGCTTCTTCGGTCTGTATGCTGAGCAAATAATCTGAGACCCTGACTCCCTGAAGGAGAACACAGCACCAGGATTGGAGAAAGGCTTTGTAACAACCTGATGTGCATGACACAACTGTGCCTGCTGAAATCGGAGAGGACTTAAAGGACTTGCTGATGAAGGTCAATGCCTGGCCCCTTAAGTGTACATCACACTGTAGTGTGAAGAAAACAAACATCCTTACAACTAGACGAACAGGAACCATCAAAATAAATGGCGAAAAGACTGAATTTGTCAAGGCTTTCATTTGGGGGGCCGGGCACAGTCAACACTCATGGAAGTAGTGGTCAAGCATTCCAACAAACATCGGGCAAATCTGCAGCACAAGTCCTCTTTGAAATGTTAAAAAGCAAACACCCAAGCCATGGTATTCTCAGTTACCTCAGATGCATGTGAAAGTTCGACGGTGAATCAGGAAGACAGAAGACTTGATGCACTGGAATTATGGTATTGGTGAAGAAGATCAAAAGTAGCATGAACTATCAGAAGGACAAACAAATCTATCATGAAAGAAGTACAGCCAGAATGCGCCTGACAAGTGAGGATGGTGAGACTTCTCCCATGCTCTGGACTTGTGGGCATGGGCCTCTGATAAAAAAAGAGTAGTCCCTGTGCTTGGTGAAGTCCAGGCTCAGAGAAAAAAAGAATGATGCAGTATCAGGTCGTGTTTGTTCTGTTGTACATAGGGTCACTATGAGTCGGAACCAAGGCATTCAACAACAACAGCAGCAGCACATCATGCTACATGCTTACAATGAGGTTGACACATTTTATTGGTTTTCACCCACTTATGGCATATATACCAAAGTCATGTATTTCTACTTCATTAAGGTAGACTCGACTTTGAAGAGGCAGCTCTTCCCCAGTCTTACTTTGAATACCTTCCAAGCTGAGGGGCTCATCTTCTGGTAATGTTAGACAGACTAGTACATACGATTTTCGGTGGCTGTTTTTTAGAGTTGACCCTTTGTTCTTCTACGTAATCTTCCTTAGTGTTGCAGCTCTGCTGAAACCGATCCACCATGGGCAGCCCTGCTGGCATTTAAAATAACTCTGGCATAGCAACATGCAAACTACCACAGTACAACAACCTGACAAATGAATAGTGAAAGAGCAGTCTCCTCAAAGTACAGTTGACCTTCATGATATAGATAAACAGAGCTTTCTGGACCTTTATTGTTGGAAGAAACAGTTGCAACTATCCATTGATAATTAGAATGCAGAATGTACAAAGAACGAGAATTGGAAGTTGGGAAAAAATGGAATGCATAAAGTTTGAGAAATTATCTATACATTAGTGAGCTGAAAAGGTGGACTGGTAATGGCCATTTTGAATCAGATAATCTTATGGCCTATTATTTCTGGAATGACAAATTGAAGAAGAATGTCATCACATTCACCATAATAAAAAAGATCATTTGTAGATCTGTTCTGAAGTACAACGCTGTCAGTGATAGGATAATATTCAAACATCTACAAGGAATTTAGAAACCAACCACTAATGCCAAAGATGAGGAAATCTAAGAATTTTACCAACGTCCATAGTATGAAATTGATCTAACATGCAATCAGGATGCATCAATAAATTACTGGTGATTGGAATGTGAAAGTTGAAAATAAAGAAGCATCAGTAGTTCGAAAATATGGCTGTGGTGATAGAAACTACACCAGAGACTGAATGATAATACTTTGCAAGACTAGTAACTTACTTATGACTACTACCTTTTTTAAATAACATTAGTAATGATTACATGTAGGGTACACATGTACACATAGAATACACAGGAATCAAGTTGACTACAAGTATAGAAAAAAGTGGAAAAAAAAGTGATGGTGAAGTTCAATATCATTAGTCTGCACAAGGTCAGAGCCGACTTCAGAACAGACCGTCAATTGTTTCTATGCAAGTTCACATCGAAGCTGAAGAATAAACACTAAGACAAGCCCATGAAAGCCAAAATATGACCTTGAATATATTCCAACTGAATTTATAGACTAAGAATAGATTTGATACATTGAATACTAATGACAGAAGACAAGATGAGTTGTGGAATGACATTAAAGACATCGTACATGAAGAATCTAAAAGGTCATATAAAAGGTATAAAAGAAAGAAAAGACTAAAACGGATGTCAGGAGTGACTCCAAAACTCCCTCCACTATGTAAGGAAGCTAAAGTGAAAGGAAAGAAATGAACTAAAAGAGTTGAGCAGAATATTTAAAGGGGCAGCTTGAGAGAAAACAGAGTAAATATTATAACGGAATGTGTAAAGGCTTGGAGTTAAAACACCAAAAGTGAAGATTATGCCCAGCATTTCTCAAGTTGAAAAAGCTGAAGAAAACATTTAAACCTCAAGTAGCAATAATGAAAAAT